ATTTTATATCTCATGTTTATTCGATTATTTGTGATTTTAACACAGTCTATTCTTTTTACTTTTTGTTTATTGTATATTGAACTGTATTGTATTGTTATTATTTATTATCTTAGGATGCCTAGTAACATCTGGCAAGGGGACTGCCGATGAAAACTAGCCTGTGGCTAACTCGGGTGCACTTACATTTGTTGTGAATGTTGATTAGTGTACATTGTCCCTTTTCAAATAAACAAATAAAATAAAATAAAATAAATAGATGGAACAATATGACCTAGATCTCTCAATGCACATCAGTGGGCCTTAAAGTCATTATATAATACAACTTGACATTCTTTTTTGTTTTATGTAATATAAACAGATTATTATAAGGATTAATGTGTGCACTTTATTTTTTTTATGAAGATATTAAACTATAAAAAGCCAACTGAAATTAGTCAATTGTTGTTGTTTTTTTATAATTAACAAATTTAAGAGTATGTAAAACCTCAACACATTCTCACCCCAAGGCGTCACCTTTTGACCATGCGTCAATATTTGACGCTTTAGGCGCACTTTAGCGTCAGTTACATGACGCAATCCTACGGCGTCATTTAACTGACGCTAAAGGAAAGTGTCAGTGAGATGACGCGGATAGGTTTAGGTCTGGGGTAGGGGTAGGGTTACAGTTACACGCGATCCTAGGGCGTCATCTACCTGACGATATCAGATATTGAAGCATGGTCAAATGCTTCCCAAGGCCTTAAATTAATTTCTTATATTTTTATCATGATGCAATCTTTTCATCTCACATTCAGGGAATCCACGGCAATCCACACAAGTCGTCTTTGATCATGTGAATCACTCTAAACAGCAAGTATGTGATTGCTCTGTGTTTTAGTTACAAAACGATATTACTTTAATTACATTTGACCCTATAGTTCTACAATTATAAAAATTTAAGTATCAAAGGTGTGCATTTTAAGGGATACTTTTAGATGCTTTATAGGGTTAATTATCGACTTGTGCATGTTCTATTATGTTCTAATTCATCTTGTTGATGTAATGAATATGTTCATAATGTTAATGTTTCTCTTGATATTCAATTTATGGTTGAGACCGCCTTGGAGGCATGGGATGGGGACAGTTGTCATACTTCTGAAAGTAACAGGTTTTACACTCGCACTTACTGTTGATATGGAAATGTTTGACCACAGAAATGTGAGCCCTGCTGGGGGCTTTCTGACGGCGCTTTTCTATTCTCATTCTTACAGGTTGGCTGCAAACTGAGCAATAGGTGGGCTCAGTGTCCAAAACCACAAGCACATGTTGTATCAAGCAGCAGCCTCTGCAAACAACAAACAACACAACTTCTCACATTTCTTTTCCACCTGAAGGTCGTTTTTGTTCCTCTAAACGTAAGGTAGGTTTATTGGTGTCAATGAAATCCATTGATCAAATTCTGCCTTGCTTTTTCTTGATAGCTTTGGTGTCTGACTTTTGCCTTGTAACTTTAACTTTGAATTATAATTGCCTATCTTTATTAAATATACTAATACAAAATTTTACTTATTTTTTCTCAGACACATAAAATCCTAACTTTTAAAATTGCAACGTACAATTTATTGGTTAATGTGCACAATTATCATTAGTGTGCAACCACATCAATCAGTTTTTATTACATAATTTTAGCCTGTTTTTTGAGGTTTAATTCTGCTATTTCCATTACAGTGGCAGTCTGTTGAGAAGAAGGAGGGGTGTTTGTTAAGAAAGAGACGTGTCTCGTGAGAATACTGCTGAGTAGACTGCTGTGTGGTTTTGTTGCTGTGAAGGAGGGTCAAACTTGTGGTTGGAAAACATCTAAACATACATAAACATTCAAATACAAACAACACATGTCATTGTGTCACGTTAAGCATGACTTATCTGTGAATAAATTATAATAGTTTTTTTTATAAATGCATTTATACCTATCAATAGGTACACTCTAAAAAATGATTGGTTGTTTCAACCCAAATTTGGGTCAAATATAGACAAACCCAAATGTTGGGTTAAAAATGTAATTAAAAAATGTACCATTGAAAGTGAAAGTTGAAGTTTTTAAATGACATTTTTATTTGGGTTTGTCCATATTTGACCCAAATTTGGGTTGAAACAACCCAGCATTTTTTAGAGTGTTAGTTTCCTGAATCATGATGATACTTCTGTATTGCAGTGCATTTTGTATTAAACAACAGATGATTACGGTATATGTGAATTAATTGCAAACCTCAATGAATAAGTTGGTCTGTTGATGTTCACCCCAGCAGAGCTCAGTCTGTTCTGAGCAACTACTTCCTCTTACTGATGCTGCAGGAAATGCATTCATTGTCTCCGCCTTCTGTATTACGTCTCACTTTTTGTTATACAGAAAATAACTCCTCCCGATGCTCATGATTTATGGTGCTAAAAATTATTATTTTAGATTTGATTTTGATTTTATTTCATATTATTCATTATTTAAAGAGTAGTCTAACTAAACACTAAACCAACTTTTTTTAGTTAATGATCTGTAAGAATGGATCTTTATTAATAGCCTACTAGTCATTGATTCGAGTAACTTTTTTGACATTTGTTTGTAAAGTGTTCTATTTCTACAATGGTGTAAAAACGTCTTAGTGCTGCCCTCTTCAGGTTGAACGGTGAATTTTCCTAGTGGATGTTCCGCACTTCGTGACGTACGCAGGTTTCAGCTCACCACGCGAACTACGCCCTTGGCAGTATAAAAACCATCTTGTGTCGTCAAAACCATTGTAGGGAGTCAGGAATTGTGAGTATTGAAAACGACCAGGTTTGAGTGTTTTAGCATCTATTTCATCACCTCTATCCCCGCTGGGGTCAGCCCCCTTTTCCAGCGTTTTCAAATATTGCCAGTGGGTGGAGTCAGGCTCTGACCAGGGGTTTAGTGACCCTTTAACAACCCACAGTTTCTCTGATTAAACGTACAGTAGGCCTATGTAATTTTTAATTTTCTGTCTAGTTACCGACATTCTTTAAAATATCTTTGTGTTCCACAGAAGAACTTAACTCATACAGGAACAACATGAATGTGAGTAAAACAAAATGATCATTTTTGGGTGAACTATCCCTTTAACATAAATTAATTGCTTATGTTTCCAAATACCCACAGTAGGCCCTACTCTGAATCTGTCACAAAGAAACATCATGGTGTGTGAGGCTTCAAGTATTTGCATAGTTCCTTCCAGGCAAATCTGCTTATGTGTGCAAGCTAATACAAGACTAATACACAGCACTTTTTTATGTCCAAGATTGACTTAGCTTTTGCAAGTCTTTAAGAATTGGGTTTAAAAAAAAGAAGAAGTAAGATTTGAATAATTTTTATGCCTGCTGACTCTCAGCTGATCCACGTCTATTAGGAATATGACAGCTATATATAAACTCCTTCAGTTGTATCAGCAGCTATCGCGTTCCTCAGGAGCCAATTACCCTTCTCCCTCCCCAGCTCCTCCTCTCGTCAGACAGGTTTTGGCATTCTGATTCTGAATCAGACAAAAATTTTCTAATTATGTTGTACAAAAAAAATTCATTAATGATATCTGAATGATACATTCATCTTGGCTCTATTCTGTTTACCCTAAGTGGGTTATTGCTGCTCTCCCTGCTCTTATTCAGGCTGCATGAATGCGCAGGGAGTTCTTGCCCAAAATGGAACCATACTGCCAATTCAACACTGTTTATTTCATTTGTATCATTGTTCTATTGCCCCAAGGCGTCACCTAACTGACGCCTTGGAAAGCATGTTGACCATACTTCAATATCTGAAGCATTAGGTGCCCTTTAGCGTCAGTTAGATGACGCCCTAGGATCGCGTGTAACCCTATACACTCTCAGAAAAAAAGGTACAAAAGCTGTCACTGGGGCTGTACCTTTTCAAAAAGGTACACTTTTGTACCCAAAGGCTGCATATTGGTACATATTAGCACCTAAAATGTACATATTAGGACCTAAAATGTACATATTAGCTCCTGAAATGGACATATTAGCACAGAAAATGTACATATTAGTACCTAAAATGTACATATGAAGAGTTCAGATGCAAAAGCCTCTAAATGCCATTTGAAATTTTCTTCTAGAATGATCATTTTTATCAAGCTTGTATATTTAAGTTCAGTAATTTCACTTAAATGGCAATGATAATTACCTATTAATTGTTATTTAAGTGAAATGAATGAAATAAAATATACAAGTTTGATAAAAATCATCATTAAAGAAGAAAATTTCTAATGGCATTTAGAGGCTTTTGCATCTGAACTCTTCATATTAGTACCTAAGTGTACATATAGCACCTAAAATGTACATATTAGCTCCTGAAATGGACATACTATCACCTAAAATGTACTTAGCACCTAAAATGTACATATTAGTACCTAAATGTACTTATTAACACTTAAAATGTACATATTAGCACCTAAAATGGACAAAAGTTTACCTTTTGAAAAGGTACAGCCTCAGTGACAGCTTTTGTACCTTTTTTTCTGAGAGCGTACCCCTACCCCAGACCTAAACCTACCCGCGTCATCTACTGTAACTGACGCTTTCCTTTAGCGTCAGTTAGTTGGCGCAGTAGGATCGTGTCATCTAACTGACGCTAAAGGGCAACTAAAGCGTCAAATATTGAAGCATGGTCAAAAGGTGACGCCTTGGGGTGAGAATGCGTTGTCTATTGTGTTTATTTGTGCATGCTTGTAGTTTGATTATTTGTTCACATTATGTTACTTGTCTTTAATAGTGTTTGAAATGAATATTTTATATTATATCTATGGTGATTTTTTTTTTAAATTCTTTTCATTTACATTTTTCTTGCATTCCATGTAAAAAGTCTGGCGAGTAAAATAAATGTACTAGCCAATGGTGACTCAAGTGTTTGAGGATTGAAGAGTCAAAATGAGAGTGTTTGTTCAAAATCTACAAACACACTAGCATCTCTGCTTTTTGTGTGTGTGACAACCTTATAGGCATAAAACATTTTTTTAAGAAAACTAATGTGTATTTTTTCTACACTTGCATGTTTTCTTTGTTTAAGCATGTTTTGAATACTTAATACTCAAATACTTGCCTGACTGTCTGGTTGGTCAGTGCCTTCCAGTGTTTTTATTGTCTCTCAGAAATAAAAGACACCCCTTTATCACTGAGCACACACAAAGAGTAGATCATCTGTGTAGAAATGAAGGCTGCCGTCGCTCTGCTTCTGTTTTTGAGTCTTTTTAGACTGAGCTTCAGTCTCTACAGAAAACACTTCTTTGTGAATACATTCATGACCTGGAAAGATGCACAAAAGTACTGCAGAGAATACCATGATGATCTGTCCACTGTCAATAAAGAAGAGGCACAACTGCTCTCTGCAAATTCAGGAATCAATCATGAATATTTTTGGATTGGACTGCACATTAGTCCTAACAACCGAGAACAATGGATTTGGTCTGGAGGTGAGGATGAAAACATCGACAATTGGCACACTGGAGAACCAAACCTACTACACACTGAAAAGTGTGGCATTGTAGGAAAATATAATTCTAAACTGTACAATGCTCCGTGCTTATGGACTCTACCATTTTACTGTATGAATGTCTTTGAGCTCATTCTGGTGCGTCAGAATAAGACGTGGGATGAAGCCCTGGACTACTGCAGACAGAACTACACTGACCTGGCAAGTCTTAGTTCTCAGAGGATTATGGCAGAGGCGATAAATAACACTATAACATCTCAGACAGCTTATGTGTGGACTGGACTGCGCTTTATGGCTGGTCATTGGTTCTGGGTCAGTGGTGATGATCTTCAATATAAAGCCTGGTCTGTGGAGGGGGAGCTCCAGTGTCCTGCCAGAAATCTGCGCTGTGGAGCTCTGGATAGACAAAATAATGTTTGGAGACCCAATAATTGTGAGGATAAACTGAACTTTCTCTGTCTTAAAAAGCTATAAATTTGCTTCATGTTGCAATATACATCCATTTCTTCATGTAGGCCTATATATGAAATTGATTCTTTTATAAATCATGACTCTATAGAAGTCTATTGCTTTACAGTAGGCTATGTATGGTTGTTAAAAATAATGCATTTTTAATCTTTCATTTTAGTCGTGTCAACATGTACATTGTCTTGTAAAACAATGTTTAGCTGATGTTTAAGATCTTTTATGAGCTTGCAGATACATTATAAATCACTATTGTAAAATACAAGATTTAGATGCATAGTTAGATTTTAATAGCCATGTTAAAAAGCTATGTGAAACGATCATGCTTTGCTGTTTTTAAACGCAATGATATTTTCATGTAGCCTACTGTATATCGTACGGATTAACAGTTTGGTCTAGGACTAACCAGGCTGTAATGTATCAGATTGAATGTCTTTATAACCATGCCTTGAAAAGTTTATGAAGCAAATAAGATATCATCATTGTAAATATAAGATTCTAAGTTTTGCTCATTTTGTTTGTTTCCATTATGTAGATCCACCAGAGCGGCTTCTAGCTGCAATTGTAAAATTTTATTCTGTAAAACATCATTTGTCGTCATCATCATCTGAAAGGTGCAAAGGTGCATTTTGGAATTCACTGCCTGATCATTTCAATTCTGCTGCAAGTTTTAATATTTTTCAAAAAACTAAGTCATGGTTAATCCAGCAAAAAACTTTTCATTTTTTTTTTTTTTAAATGTATTATTATTGTTGTTGTAATTGTAGTCCATAAAAGGCCCTTCTAGCCTTATACTGTGTATAAAACACAGTTACTAAACACATGTATAAAACTTTATGATAGTTGCTCAAATTAAAACCACACTGTAAAAAATATTTTCAAGATTTGTTATCACAACATATTTTCTTTTGTCAAATCAACTTTATAATAATTTATTTAGTTGAGATAACTTATTATTTTCAGTTTCTGATGGTTAAATTAATCTACTTCATTGTATTAACTCACTTTTTCCAGTTCAATCAACTTAAATTTTTAAGGCAACCCAGGTTACTTACTTTTTTAAGTTAAACCAACAAAACATTTTTACAGTGTAGTAATCAACATTTTTTCATTTGTCAAATCAACTTAAATCATTTATTTAGTTCAGATAATATTATAATTTTGAGTTTCTGATGGTTAAATTAATCTCCTTCATTGTATTAACTCACTTTTTCCAGTTCAATGAACTTAAAATTAAGGCAACCAGGTTACTTACTTTTTTAAGTTAAACCATCAATATTTTTTTACAGTGCATATATTCTTGTGTGAGTTTGTGTGATCTCTGCAAGAGTGGGGTGAGAGTTCAAATGTTAATTTTCCCATGTCCTTTGTCTCATAGACCAGTGGTCTATCTTTTCAACCAGTTTCCAGTTTTCCAGTCTTACAGGTCCAACCCCATACAGAGAAAAGAGATTATGTGCACAGGGGAGAGCTTATTCTTTTCATAATTGGCCTGAAGCCCCAGATGGCCATGGTTCTTTAGCACCAAATCCTTGTATTTGCAAAACTCTCATTATTGAAAACTGCTCTCACAATGCAAATCTCACTCACGAATGTCGATTGGCTTGTTTTGCTTACACTCAAAGATGATTTGGCTCTCAGGTCAGGTGAGATCCCAAAAACACATGACAGCCCATTCTGGTGCATCAGAACAAGACATGGGAGGAGGCCCTGGACCAGTAAATTTAGGTAGGTCTTAGCGCTATACTTTATGATAAACATTTTATAAGCTTTATATTCTAATCGTGAAGACATGCAGACACACTTTTGTCAGGTCTAAGGTCTTAGCATTATTCAGCCTGAAGGCGGTGCTCTAATGTTGATTGATAGGCACTCAGAGAATGCTATTTTTGAATTGTCGTAATGCTGTACTTATTGCCTCAGAATGTTGTTTTAGAATGTTACGAATTGTAGAGGAATTCTGGTGAGGAAAAGTAATTTCTTTTCGAAGAACAAACATAAAACAAACACAACAGAACTATATGCAAAGCCTATTCAATTTACTTCAAACTTTCATTAATTTGATATGAAGAACAGACAAGGCAACTAATCACTGACCTGATGCAGACTAATGTACACATATTTGAAGTGGTTTGATATCAACAAATCGCTCTGAGTCTGGAACGAAGGTGGTCAAGTGAAAATAAGCGGTCTCAAATCTCCCCCAACGGCTCTCAATAGGCTTTATGCACAACTTACTTCCGCAGTCTCTGTAAAACAGGTCGAATCGCTTCCGGTCCAGGTCTTTTGTATGTTTTTCATGAAATTGTTTGCGGTTTTACTCAAGATAACTTAAAAGAAGCGAGCAAAGATTAGCATAAACAATATCCCTCACATGTGCAGATTAATATTTAAACGTTTTATATTTTTTATTCTTCACAGTAACGTTTAGATATGTAAATGGAATAAAACGCCAATAACAAAGTGAACTAGTTAGGTTAGCTGATTACCTTAAATATCCATAGATATCGTAGTCAGTACTTCTTACGGCCGTTAACACTTTCTCTGACAAGCGGATGCGATGAGACCCGTTTTCCGGTTTGGTCACGTGACGCACGGCATAAAGCCTATTAATCCGCGCTGCAGTTTTATTTTTCACCACAGATTTTACATTGGAAAATTGTGGGGAGCTGAAGATCTGAGGAGGCTCAGGCACCCGCTGCCCGGTTAAGTACAAAATAAAAGTCTAGACAATTCTGACAAGGCTACTTGTACACTTTTTTTTTGCTGTTTTTACTTTTCTTACTTGTGTGTTCTGTAAAGCACTTTGGTCTGTCTAAGCAGCTGTTTAAATGTGCTATATAAATAAATGAACTTGAACTTGAACAATTCTGAAATATTTATTATAGAAAACTGAAAATATTTACAATTTATTACTGATACAGTTTATGTAGAGGTATTTTGTTTAGAGCCCCACCTGCCCATACAGACAGCTGCCATTGTATTTACATCCATACATTGCATTACAGCTTGTGCTGCTGCCCTGGACTATTGCAGACAACACACACACTGATGTGGTGAGTCTAAACTCCACGATCATTGTAACAGAGGTGATAAATAACAACACTATAACATCTCAGACAGCTTATGTGTGGACTGGCCTGCACTTTATGGCTGGTCATTGGTTCTGGGTCAGTGGTGATGATCTTCAATATAAAGTATCTCTGTGCTCTGAGGGGGAACTGCCAGAAATTTGTGCTGTGGAGCTTTGGATAGAAAAGAGAGGGTTTAGAAACACACAGACTGTGAGAAACTCAACGTAACATACTTAAAGCAAATATTGCATTTGAACTGCAGTATGCAATATTTTATGGATATTGCATTATGGATCATTATAGTTATATTTTCAGTTGAATCTTTCCTTTCATTCCACACATTTTTTTTTTACATGACTACTAATCAATCTCGGACAAATAATACAAATCGTAATGCTTAAATGTAATTTTATATCTATTTGTTTTGTTATTTCCAAACTGAAATCTGATTCCTGCTTTCTAAGATATCAATTATTCAGCAGAAATGTATACTGCAGTTACATTTTGTTTATCAAATACAATAAGAACTTGCACAGGTTATCATTAGTTGATGTCCTTATATAGACACACTTTTGCCATAATGAATATGTAATTGTTTCAAAACATATTACATTTAATTTAATGTTTTATTTAGTTTGGTTTTATTTGAATGCAGTATACTGCATTCAAATAAAACCAAACTAAATGGTTTTATTTGAATGCTTAATTAAATTCGAGCATTATACTACGTATAATGCTTGTTTTTTGGGTGAAGAAGGGGTACTCCATTGAGATCTATTCAATATTTTTACTCAAATAGTAATTAAATTTTTTTCAGCCGACAGATCTACATTCATTAGCAAAAGCATCTGCAACACAAACCTAATTACTATAGATAAATACTGTAGGTTGGTTTCTGTAGACATAGGTGAGTGATGACTGACACTTAAGTTACGTATGATCAGATTTAAAGCCTGAATTCGTTACGTTTATATTATGACAACGCACAAGCATGCTGATGCTTTCCCGTCTGCACGCAAATGTCACTTTAGGGTCTCCGTAATTCACATTTTACTATAAGGTTGAAGAATCAATAGGGCTATAAACAGACATTTATTGTAAATTATAGGCTAGCCTACTTTTTAGCCAAAGCTTTTTTAAATGGTTACCAGCAAATGAGAATTCGAGTTTAAAATCCCAAAAGATACTTTTAGTAGTTTAAAACCACCATCGTTAATTTTAATATTAACAATTATGCCAAATAGACATTGGATTTGTCTACCTGATATGGCCATAGTGATAATAACTGAATATTGTATTAGTTTGTGTATTTAGCCTATATGCTCACGTCTGAAATAAAATTATATCCCTAATAATTAATGTATAGCATATATATACAACCAAATATATAGCCTTTCCCACTTGGTTTATAAATATTGTATGATAGTTAGTTATATATAGATACTGTATATATATATATATATATATATATATTAAAAATTAGTTGATCCTGGATGAGGAATAGCAATGCATTTGTGAAACTAAGTCTTTGGTCAGTAATTATGTCTAAATCATAAATACAGTCATGATCTATGCTATGCATGAATTGTTTAATGTGTCCACAGCTCTGTATATTCACCTGAAAATATTAATTTTCCTCAGTGATGTTTGAGATTTGACATTTAAGGCTGGAATAGACCGTGTCCTTTCCGCTCTTCTCTCTCTGCTCATTCTCTGAGTTCTCTGTTCTTGTGTTGTCTTCGGGGAACTGTAGCATTGAGTAGTCAAGCTCCGTACTCTCTTGATCCTGTGAGGGGGAAAAACAAATATGTGTTTCGTCTATAAATACATTAAATGGATTAAACATATTAGATATTATGACATACAAGATGACTACTGGTATCAGACGCTGGTGAGTTTGGTTGAGGAGGGACAGCCAGAGAATGAAAGCTTCTCTGATGTGCTGCAAGAATCAATAAGGGGATTGAATTAAATAATGGTAAAGAAAAACAAGACTGAATTGATTGAATGAATGAATAAATGAATGAACACTTAATTAAAGTGTAACACTGCTATTTAACATCTATTGAATGTCTAAATAAACATAAATATTACAATATTGCTTTCAGGTAACAAAATTAAAATGTACTTCACCAGCACACAGTTCACATTTTCTTCTCCTCAGCCGTTCGCATAGAAGAATGTTCACTACTCCACTGAAGATCAAAATCAGAATATTGCAGACAAACACCACTTCGAAAAGTGTTGTACATTCTGAATAGCCCAAAATATATAAATTAAAAATCATGTTGTTTTTGGAATCCATGAGAATAAATGTATGATGGGCCTAATTATCAGTCAGATATTTAGCAAATAATAATAGAAATATAGAATGCTGGCATTTGCAAATTGTTCTGTTTCTGTTTCTTGGATGGATTGTTGCATATCAGGAACTAAGTTCATAATATATTTATTGTTATTAAATTATGGATTTTTAATGCTTTACGTTTAAATGTAATTTATGGAGATTAATTGTAACTGTAATATTTGAATTACAGAAACTTGAGAGTTTGCAAGTGCATGATATTTTAGAAATGTTACCTGCCATTTTGTCACCTAGAACAGAGAGGCATAAAATAGTATGTTAATACTGTTAACATTTACACTATTTAATAAATGTCTACTGACCTTGACAGAAAACCAACTTACGAATCTTTTAGACAGCGAGAACTCGTCACACAGTTGTTCTGAAGAGAGAGTCTTTGAGCTTTATATGGACGTCATGTACTGAGCTGTAGCTCAGGGAGAGCAAAGTGCACACGTGTGGGTTTGCTCTGAAAGTTGCTTGAGAGTGTGGTGGAAATTTTAAAATGTATTTTCGGTAACACTTTACAATAAGGTTCATTAGTTAACATTATGTATTTACTAACATGCACTACCCATGAGCAATGCATTTGTTACTGCATTTGTTAATGTTAGTTCATGCAAATACAGCTGTTCATTGTTTGTTCATGTTAGTTCACGGTGCATTAACTAATGTTAACAAGATTTTAATCAAGTATAAGTAAATGTTGAAAATAACATTAACAAAGATTAACAAATCCTGTATATGTGCTATTCATTATTAGTTCATATTAACTAATGTAGTTAACTAATGTTAACTAACGAACCTTATTGTAAAGTGTTACCGTATTTTCTATCCTAATTGTAATATCTAACCTTATTTAACATGCTAATACTTTGAAACGCCATGCATGTACTAAAAGGTTCTGTTCTGTGTTTTTGGATGGTGTATAGGCCTATGTTGCCGTACCACTGTTGAATGTAAAAATAACACGAAATTAAACTAGACATATGTCTAGGTTTAAAAACTTGTGATTATGAAGTAATGAAGAACCAATCAAATTGTAGGGAAATAATGTAATGCATCATGTCATTTTGCCATACCCCTATTCTATAAAACCTGTTGTATTTGCGTAAACTGGTGGGATTCTCAATGGGATTTCTCTGGGATCCACCAGCCATGCTTGTTGCTTCTTTTTGGGAGAACTGAGAACTGCTCGGAAAGATTTACCGGCCATAATTAAAGCATTTAGAGGACATTTGCTGAGGTCTGTCTGTTATTACTGCTGTGCAACAGGTCAGTTTATGGAAGTAAGTTAGTTAGCAAGTAAGCAAGAAAACAAGTAAGTTAGAATTAGACTCGGCTGTAGTCGACTGGAGACTACGTCAATGGGCACGCAAGATTATAAGTCTTTAGGGAAAAAATCCACTACAAGAGACATTTTAAAGACATTTAAAAAGACATTACAAATTATTTCCTAATGGGCTTTATGCACAGCTGCACTACTTCCTGTATTTCAGCCAGCTCCTTGTTTCCTTTCTGCCATTATTGGCCAAACTGATTAATTCAGGTGTGTCTGATTATTGTTGCTGTGACTACTGAGGTCAGGCACACCTGAATTAATCAGTTTGGCCAATAATGGTAGACAGGAAACAAGGAGCTGGCTGAAGTTCAGGAAGTAGTGCAGTTGTGCACACTGTAAAAAAAAAAATGTGTTCATGATTTGTATCACAACATTTTTTCTTTTGTCAAATCAACTTAAATAATTTAAGTGGTTTAGATAAACATAATATTTTGAGTTTCTGTTTATTAAATCAATCTCCTTCATTGCATTAACTCAATTTTTCCATTTCAATGAACTTAAAATTTTAAGGCAACCAGGTTACTTCATTTTTTTTTTTACTTCATTCAACCAGGTTACTTCATATTTTTTTTACAGTGCATAAAGCCAATTAATGTGGAAATGACCCTCATTGTAAAGCAAAATAATGACATTAATATGTGCATTTGAGGCAAAAATGAAAGCATGCTCTTTTCCATAATTTAAACCAACACAAATTCAATTTCAAATTGATAAGTTTACATGTAAATTTAGAGGTCCATGCAAACTGTATTTAGAGATTAAACATTTAAGTCTGGTTTCACAGACAGGGTTTAGTTTAAACCAGGGTTAGACTTTAGTATATATATATATATATATATATATATGCAAGTTCTGTGTCCAGATTTTTAATCGTTTCCATTAAACTAATCCGATCATCTACTGTTATGCACAGTAAATTCTAATCTTTGATAAAAGATGTGAAAAGTGTATTGAATAACTATTATCTAAAAAACTGATGCGGACTTATGCACCAGCATGACTCAAGTCCAACCTTATATCCATGGTGCTGAAGGCATATATAAATTTACTTACTTTAGGTTTAAATGAAGGTTGATATTCAATTAATGGTTGAAAAAAATACATTCATTCATTATAAGATCCATTTAGTTTTTGTTATTATACATTTTACCAGCTGTCATGAACACACCCCTGAGACATAAATTCATTTTGAAATTCATTGGGGTTTTTTTATTGGGTTTTTTATAGACTATAGCATGAGCATGAGAACACTTTGTGAAATGTCTGACCACATAAATGTGAGCTCTGCCAGAGGCTTATGAGGTTTGTTTGATTTTCACTCTTGCAGGCTGCGCTTTGTAGCCTGAGATCAGTGCAAAATATGAACTGCATGTAGCATCACATCTGCAAACACGCTGTGCCGTGTCGAGGCACAACTCACGTAAAGTTGATAATTCCGCGAATGACTGCAATTGCAGATTTTGAACAGAGATGGCGACAAAGAGGAAAAACTGCAGCTTTAATATACAAAACAAGCATGCGAACTAGTAATAAAGATATCATCTCATAAACCTAGAAGTCGTCATCTCTGGGCTGATCTGTTTAAGTTCATTTCTGCTTTTAATTTGTAAATAAATTCAAATTGTAGAATTTATTTTAAATTTGTTTATCAAACAAAGTGAAGCGAAACCACAGTAAAGTTCCAGTGGCACGCCTCAAAGCTTTTGTTTGCCAAAATACATGCAAAGCATGACCGAGGCGATCTTGTGCTGCCGAGGAAACCTCATGCATTTAATAACACTACTTTATTAAGGATAGTCTGATTTTGACTGTTTATATTTTGATTGTTATATTTCCTATTAGTTTTCCATCCCAAAAAATGAATTTTAACTGTAAAAGACAAAAATGTTAGAGTAAAAACCTACAAAGAAAAAGAAAAGAAAGAAAATACAAAAAACAAATCCTCTTAAAATTCACAGTGAAAAGACGTAAACTGTGTGCATCTTTATATTATACTACACTTCAGCTTGTGGAAAAGCTACTTGAGATTCATCATGTGACTTTCTCTTCCCTCTGTGTTATTATGCATGTTAAAGGTACAAAACAAAGTTTAATAGTAACGTATAACCTTGCTAATTCAGTAACAAACAGCTGTTGGATTTATGGGTTTCTTTTTTTGTAAATTGCTTTTTTAAAATTGTAAGGTTGACTGGACACTTTACAACTTGGATTTACCAGGTTGTTTTTTTTATAAATGTATGTATTTATTTAGTAATTTACTGTTTTAAATTGTAAATGATTGTTCCGTAAACATGTTTACACTTTTACAGTATTTTTACAGAGATAATCTGGCAACCACTGATGCAAAAAATTTTTTTTTTTTACATTGTATATAAAATAGGATAAATTGTTAATCAATCAGAATGGAAATTACGGAGGCGTATTGCATTTACTTGAAGAAAAAAAAATCTACTCTGTTTTTCTGAATTAACGAGTTAATTTTTCATGAGAAAAAAAAATTTGCTCTGTTTTTCTGAATTAATGAGTTAATTTTTCATGAGAAAAAAAATGTTTTGCTCTGTTTTTCTGAATTAATGAGTTAATTTTTCATGGAATTTTTTTTTTTTTGGAATTAAACTTTTTTTCTCACGAAAAATTAACTCATTAATTCAGAAAAAACAGAGAAAAAAATATTTTCTCATGAAAAATTAACTCATTAATTCAGAAAAACAGAGAAAAACTTTTTTCTCATGAAAAATTAACTCGTTAATTCAGAAAAACAGAGCAAAAAAAATTTCTCATGAAAATTAACTCGTTAATTCAGAAAAACAGAGCAAAAAAAATTTCTCTCATGAAAAATTAACTCATTAATTCAGAAAAACAGAGAAAAAAAAATTTTCTCATGAAAAATTAACTCATTAATTCAGAAAAACAGAGAAATTTTTTTTTCTCATGAAAAATTAACTCATTAATTCAGAGAAACAGAGTAGATTTTTTTTCTTCAAGTGAATGCAATACGCCTCCGTAGGAAATCCTGACAGTATATGACAGTAATTTCTTGCTTTAGGTGAGGATGTTGACAGCAAGTGACAAGAAGCATCAATAGATGGCAGTATGTGATTGTATTTTCTCTAAGTTCTTTTTGTTTTGTTTTTTGGTCAAAGCCACAACATATGAATTAAACCATGAAACCAATCTCAGTCATACAGTATGTAAATGAAAGGCATATTAAAAGCACAGACCGTTATAGAAAAAAATGATAGTCAACCAAGTTGTATTATACTGTTAGTCTGTAACATTTTCGAGAAATTCATCAAGCTTTTGCCATTTTTTAATAGTGTATCAATGCAGTAAACATTGTATTGTTTGTGATCTCAGACTTCGAAGTATGTTTCAGATACATTATTGACAGGTATGTTCTCAACCACACAAGCGTGACTGTGCAACGATGTGGCTCCAGTCAGAGAGTGAGCAATTAGACGCATCATTTCCTGTACAAACTGAGACAGGAAGAAGCCACTCAATGCAAAGTGAGAACTGTTAAGACAAAGTTCAACTAATATCGTAGAGAGCGGCCTCTTTTCATGTGGCGTAAACGAAGTCAACATGTGAAAGTCTGCAAAAGGTTTTTGTCACATTTCTGCTCATGTGCAGAAAAAAAAAAATTACTCTGCTGGGTCACATTGCTTTTAAAGTTTAAATCTTAAGTTTGCTCTGCACAGCTTGTTATGAGGTGAAAATGATCATCTACAGCATACATACTACAAGATAAAAAAAAGATGTGATCTAAAGGCAAATTTTCTTGTATATTTAAGTTCAGTGATTTCACTTAAATGGCAATGATAATTACCTATTAATTACTGAACTTAAATATACAAGTTTGATAAAAAATCATCATTAAAGAAGAAAATTTCAAATGGCATTTAGAGGCTTTTGCATCTGAACTCTTCATATATATATATATATATATATATATATATATTAAATAAAAATACTAAAAACATTGATCAAGTGTAAGGATAGATCAACTATAGCAGAATTTCGGTACACAACATACTGTACATTCAAATATTGAAATAAGCAAGATCAGTTCATTAAATGTACACTTTTTGTCACATCTAAGTAACCCATAAAACACACATCCACACATTTAACATGCAAATCAACAAATTAATTGAAATAAATAAATGTGTTTCTCAATGTGATTATGCTGCAACAAAGGTTTATGCTATTTATTTGTTTACATTTAATAAAAAAAAAAATTTAAAAATAATAATATTTAATAATAAAAATAAAAAAACATTTAATAATAAAAAAAATGTAGTCAGCAGTGCACTGGGAAGCGGGTTGTGTTTCTCTTTAATGAAACAGAAATGTTTGTCTGTTGTTAAGGATGTTTTTGTGGTTTTGATTCAGAGAGGGGCTTCAAAACAGAAGTAAGAGGTCAGTCGTGTGGGTGGAAAATGATCAGACCACAATGTGCGCAAGCAATGCATGTACGAAGAGACGTGCCGAAGTGCAAACAAGAATCTCATGATCTACAGTAATTTTTCTTCATTTTTTTATCTGTCCATTTTTTTTATTTATTGAATGCAATATTTCGTTTTCATTTTTATTTGAATAACATTTGAATATGCAATCTAAAATAACTGTTTTTAATAAACTTTTTCTTTTGGGAAAGCAACTTTAGACAGCTCTGACAAACATCTTTAAAAGTGTGAAAGTATTTTAAAAGTGTTGGTTATCAATCAGATCGGTGAATGTCACTGCTGGTCCGCTGAAGTTCACATCAACACTTCTCTCTCTGCACTGAGCAGCTTCTCTCGCTCACTCCTCCACAGGAAGTGATGCGGCTAACAATCTCTGACTTCTGGTTGGAGCCTCAGTCGCTGTCACATCCTATGCATTGTTTGTGTAAAAGCCTGTGGTTTGGGCTAACACTGATGTTAAAATAAACCCAAATCAGAGATCAGTCTCAAGATGATCAGATAATCTGATGAACCGAGCTGATCAGTTGTTTTATGTGCAGGTAAGGTGTTCATTTGCTGTTGAGGCTCAGTAAACATGAGTGTGGCATTGAGATGCATAGATATGACACACAAGATAAAAGTATCAGTTTGACATCATGACCACATGCTTTCTGAAAATAAATGATCATCACAGTAAGGGCAAATTCCCCATGTGGTAAATAACATTACTATGAATCCAGTGGTTTACTGGAAGCTTTCATGAGCTTTGCAGCAAAAAAAAAGTGCAAACTAACCAAATCTGCTGGCCGAAGATCCACAATTCATATGGTTCACAGTCCAATTTAGACATTCTACTAACTATTAGTAACTTTGCAACTACATGACTAATAACTCTCATTGATTTGCAACTACATGTCAACTAATCTCATTAGACTCGGAGTACTAGACTATTAGAAGCAGATATTAAGCAGACATATATCAAAATAAAGTGTTAGCAGATATTGGGAAGACAGTTAAGTAATAATCTAATGACTGCTAGTTGACTTGTAGGTGCAAAGTTACAGTCAGTAAAATGTCTGGTGGGGAGCATTAAAAAGTGTTAGTGTCAGACTAAAACTCTAATCAATGACTGGTAGTTGACTATTTACAGTTATTGCACATTTTTTTACGTCTAAAGTGGACTATTGAAAAAAAGTCACTTTTAATGTTTGTTTATTGAGTGTTTAACTTGCCTTGTGGTACATTGTGACGTCTGTTGTCATCAGTCAAACACATGGATAAATCCCATGATTACCATTATGAGGCTCATCTTTGGTGATGAAGTTGTCTAAATAAAAATATGAATGTACAAAAAGTTAATAAAAATTTTTACATTTTAACTGGGCTGAATCGTACAACTGCTATGGTGAAAACAATAAAAAAAAAATCATACTCATTCTGTCCTCATGACCACTATAAGGGGAGACCTGGGATTGAGGACATCTTTTCTTCCCAGCCAAGTCATCCATCTTTCTTCTCAGACTCGGTCTATTTTAGTTGGGTCACACAGTAAAGACCTGCAGAAAAATGAAAGGTAAAAAATATCAATGGGCAGATTACTTGGCCTTGTCTTTGTTGCATAATTAAAACCAGAGCTGCATCTCTTTCCAGCACCTGGTTTAGGCCTTAGTTCATCTCGCAACTAGTTGCATCTAATCATATAACATCCATCAAAGTATATAAACACACACCTTTTATTTGGTCACTTTGATAAAAAAAAAGTAAGTCAATAATGTGAAAAGTAACCAATATGTCGTGTCTCTGTCCGTGGTGCTGAAATTCAGCTTATGACGAGGTGTGTTGCAACAGAACACCTCCACCTGTTAAAGCTTCGTATGGGATCCTGATATCTTGCATTAGATTAGAATTATTTGTTTTGTCCTGATTTGTGTGAAGACCAGTTTAAATATAAATAGCATTTACGATAGTGTGCAATTGTTTAGCTACACACTAGGCCTTTAACACAGCCAGCCTAAAACCTGAGGTCAAGCTCAGTCGCTCAGTCGCTTTTTAACTTTAGGAGGCTCAATGGAAACTTTCAGCCGCTGAGGTGCGAGCACTTTCTTTCCACTCTCGATCTTAGGTGACTGCGAGTTTCTTTTTGTGTGTGTGTGTGTGTGTGGCCTGGGCTCATAGTCCAAAACCACAAGTGAAAAAAGTGTCATCCTACTGCTTCTAACATCAGATATGAGAAGAAAAAAAAGTTTCATAATACACACACACACACACACACTTTTAAAAAGCCTTTTGCTAATTCTTTTATATACTTTGTATGATTTTCATATTAATTGAGAGGCTACTCGGATTTGTTTACATTTATGTGCCACACTTTAAAATGTAAAAATATAGAAAATTAAAAATAGTGTAAAAATATTATAATATAAATTGTACACATTCATATGATTTTTTTTTACCTAAAATATTAGTAAAACATTATTCAATTCTAAAATTAGTGCAATTCAGAACCGGCAGTGTTTTTTATTTTTTATAAAAGTAGGTGGAATTGTACTGCTTGAAAATATAATGAAAAGTCAGAATTCGTAAGGGATTTTTAAAAATAAACAATCAAATGAATGTGTCACAAATCGGTTTATATGGTTTATAAAGTCTTACATCTTATTATTGTGTGTGGAAACACCACACACACTAAATAAATTTCCTTAAATTTCTGCTCATTAAAATAGCATAGTGTACTGTAAGCATATATGACACACTGAACTTAAACATCATAACAGTAGTGTAGACCCAACCACATTATTGCTAACAGTTATTGATAAATACATTCAACTATTGGCACCATTAAACTGTGCTAAAGCTCTTTCAGTGTGTGTTGGTCCGCTGAAGTTCATGCCACCAGGGCTCGTTCTACACTGATCTGCTACTTCCTGTCACTCCCTACAGGAAATGATTCTTTGTTTCCAACCCCTGCCACTTTATTTGATGAGAGGCGGCTAATGTTTAAACACGGCCATGTGGTCTGTGGTCTGGCTGGACTAAAATCACTGTGCTTACAGAAAGAAAAAAAATAAATTAAATAAAAAATAGGATGATTAGCTACATTCAACTTCACAATGCTCTGAAAACACAATGTTTTCACAGACTTTACTTATTGTGCAAAAAATTGTTATTTAGCTAGTAACCAACATTTATATTTTACTTACATGTATTGCACTCCTCATAATGGATTTCTTAATTATGTTGAATAAACATTATAATACAAGAAAAAACGTAATTTTTTTGCCAATTTGCTGTTTATTTAGGCCTATAGGCTGGCCAGCTCAGATGGCCCTCGACATTTCAAACATGTTCACAATAATTAATTGTAATACAATGACAGAAATGTCTCCACCTAACGGCTGAGCTTTATTTGAATTATTTTGAGAATGTTGTAAGAATGTTGACTTTCACAAGATTAGCTATGTAAATTAGCAATTAGGTTTATGGATCTACTCAGAAGTGCTGTGGTGCTGATCTTTTTCTCTTTCTGCAAAAAGAAAAAACTAGAGAATTCAAAATCTGAGAAATGGGTTTATTATCATTTGTATTACTTCATAACATTGCAAAACAAGTTTTAGAAAACCCTCAACCCTCTTTCAAGGTTGTTATATGTGCAAATTAAAGTCTGCTTTAAAACAGATTGGAGCAAGTACAGTGTAAAAGCCACTCCCCCTTCAAATAAATAAAGCTCAATTCGATTCTTCTCAGTTGAGTCGATTGGACTGGAACGTAAAGATGAATTTGTTTGGAACAAATCCTCTGATGACCTTTTTAATAGGTAAATACATTTATGATGTTTGCTATAGAATTTGGGAAAACGAAACAGAATGTATTTAATAAATAATAATTATCAATGTGTAGCTACTATATATACCGTGTAACAATACCTCACAAAAACATAAGTATATGTTTTATAAATTCTGTTTATATCATATAATTTGCCAATGCTTTGTCATTTAACTTTCATTAAATAACTGATTTTGAAAGCACAGGGCAAAGCTATCTTATAACATCACTTAGTGTTGCGTTTACTTTACTTTTAGATTCAGAACAATCTTGTCATTAGCCATTTACATTCATTCCTTTGCAGTTTTAAAGGAAGAGTTTGTTCAACTAATATGACAATTATGTCATAATTGAATCACCCTCATTGTTTCAAACCTGAATGACTGACCTTCTTCTTTGAGGAACTCAAAAGAAGATATTTGGAGGAATGTCTCTGTGTATTTTTATTAATTTGACATTTTTAAAATGTCTCAAACTGTGTTTTTTGGACACCAACAGTCTTCATAATATCTTCTCTTGAGTTTCCGCAGAAGAAAGTCACAACATATCATTGAAATTACATTGTAACATTTGTAATGACTTTGATTTCAGACGTGACGCAACACATGCAAACATTTGAATCCGCAACTTTACATTTGAATCTGAATCAACGTCTTCTACTTTTTTTCTTATGACATTGTTGATTGTTTTCAGGTTTCATCTTTGTAAAACTAACATCTTTAACTCGGGTGAAAACGGTGAACAGTGGAACTACTGTCTCTCTTCTGTGTGCAAACATCTTGAAAGAACCCAGTTACATCGCCTGGTTCAAGCAGATAAATGGAGCTCTACCACTTTGCATTGCTACTCAATATGTTAGCGAAAAACAAGGAGACTCCATATATTTAAATGGCTTTAAGAAGGATCATGTGGAGATGTCGGTGAACAAAACGTTTTCTTCCCTAAAGATTGTCAATGTTGACTTCACTGACTCTGGAATGTTTTACTGTGGAAGTTTTTTGGTAAACTACATGATGTTTCACAACAAAACACAGTTAATGGTAGTAAATGGTAACACCCGAGTCTTTATTTCATTTATTAATTCCAAAATGATTCATATTATTCAGTATAATTGCAATTCAGTTAACAATACTTATCTTGTATTCTTTTTTTTATCTTCAAAGAGACTAATCAGTTTAAAGAGGATATTGCACATGCCGATTGTGGTATGTGTCTAACAGTTTAAAAGAGAAACTTTATTTGGCAGTCATTGATTGCAAATGTTCTTTATTTCAAGCTTACATAATCTTGTTCTCCTCTCTCTATCTTTTTATTTATTTGAATGGTTTTAACAGGGGCGACTGAAGAAACTTCAAGATCCTGCCACGTCTATTATACACTCACACTGATCTTGAGCGGCTTGGTTTTGCTTTCCACTGTTTTTGCGATTGTAGTCTTAATCAGGATGAAGGAAAGAAACAAGCAGAAACAAGGCACGTAAACATCACAGTAGCACCTTAAACTAATCACTAAATATTCTAGCAAAAAAAATATGTTTGTATAAAAAATAAAAAAAATAAAAAAAAATGTAAAAAAATATTAATATATGATAATATGTTTCTGGTATAAATGATGCTATTACCAAATCAGCATGAATGAAAAGTGCTACCATGTGAACATAAATAATATTGAGAACTGTCTTGTTTTTCTTAGATACACAGCGCCGTGGTAATAATGAAGAGATGAACAAACAGTTGCAGAAAAGGGTATTTCAAATCAAATTATTGTTGTTTCTATTATAGGGAGGCTGGTTGTAACACATGCAGGGTTAAAAAAAGTTTCGAGTTTCATAGATGAAATCCCTATAGGTGAAAGTAGACTGCAAGTTCCTAATCAAAATCATAGCTCAAAAAAAGAAAAAGAAAAATTTCATGTTAGGCCTATATAAAATTATATATAAAAGACATGAATGGCTGTAACACTATTTACTTTTTCTATACACACAAAGATTGAAGACCATATGTGTAAAAACCGACACTTGACACAATATGAAAGTGAATAACATACGCACTTTATGTTGGTTTAAATTCTTAGCTCAGGTTTTTTCCCGCATTTTTTAATTATTAAAGTGGAGTGTGAATTGAAGGGGATTGGTATAAAAAATCATTTTAAGTACATTTGTTTAATGCATGTACAAAAATTAAAATGATATCCATGTTTTTATGGTTTAAAAAAAAGTGTTACAACCCCCCCAGTTTCGCCTATATGATTGTGTACATTCATAGCATGTTTGTATTTTTTATTTTTGTGTTGCCAGGAGCAAGATGAAGACTTGAACTATGCAGCTCTAAGTTTAGACAAGAAAAAGAGCAGAAGACCAGTAAGAAAAATAAGGGAGGTGGAAACAAACGTTATTTATGCTGCCACACGCTGATCCACATTATCAGACCGTTTGACACAAAACACACTTGAAACTGTGCTTATGTTAAATACACAAACTGTGTAGCTAGTTGTGCTGTTGAATATTGTTGTGATTTTATGCTATTTTATGTCTAGCGCTTGATCCATATTTACAGTTGAAAGTGCTTTTTAAATAAAAATGTGAGTTGAGTTTAGAGCTGTCACAAGTGGCGTAAAGCAATGATGACTCAGGGGCCACACTCTTAGAAAAAAGGGTTAATTACGGTTCTATATAAAGCATAGGGTTCTTTACTCAACTCCAAAGAACCTTTTATGCTAAAAAGGTTCCATAATGACAAGAAAGAACCATTTTGGCACAAAGGTTCTTTATAGGCTATTATTCATTCATATATTACATTATTCTGCAACATTTTACAGTTGTAATTCAATTATTGTTAATTAAATTGTTGTAGTAACTTAATATCACATTTTAATCATGCTGATTTTTGGAGAAAAACTGAAATGGCACTCTTCGTGTGATTTTGATTCACTACATAAAATGATATAAATATATACATTCTAACCCCCATATCTTGAATTTTGTGATCATTCACATGCATTCATAAATATATTTTAGGGTCTTGATGTTTGTCAATAATATGAAACTCGAAAACGAGATTATACATCTCAAGGGGTTAATCCTAATAAATTCTATAATAAAAATGAAATATTAAATCCAGAAAGGACAAAACAAATGATAATGAATGAACCCAAAAGGTTCCATATAGAACCTCTTTCCTGGTTACAAAAAACCCTAAAGGGTTCCTATTATTTCACACCTCCTCTCACTGCAGCTGCCTACTCTCACATAAATTTCAGGCGAGGCAAGGCACATCTCAAACAAGCCTAATAATGTTAGGGTGACAAAAGGGAATGGAGACAGGAAAAAAAAAATTCCAAACAGTATTTTTAATTGACCTGTTGATATTTACAGGTAGCCTAAAATATATTAAGAGTAAACAGGAATCAAAATTATATATATATATGGACCAACATTCCACAGGGCACAATCAACAACCTGATCTACTCTATGCGAAGGCTGTGGCACTGCGTGAGGCAAATGGTGGTCACACCAGATACTCAAACATTTTGAACCGATGGTGGGTAACTAACATACAGTGAGCTAACCAATTCTCGTTGACACTGCAAGCTCATAAAATACCTTTGTGTCCATATTTACATGGGTTGAGTGTGTTGAGCTGACTTGCTCACTAGCGTAATGTGTGCGTTGTCAGACACCGTTAATCTGCCGGACTTTGCCCTCTCGTTAAAAACAAAATCAGAAACAGACCCTAATGAAAATGACTTCACTAAAAGAGTCCACTCATATCCCAAACACATTTCAGCATGGCTAAATTTAAAATTTTAGCTCTGAGGTGTTTTTGAACATTTACCTACCTATAACAGGAGAGAAAACATTCAGGTTCAAGCTCTCTGTAGTAATGAGAAACCATAGTGAGAAACCCACAACAACACACCTTATGTAAAACCCGTCACCCGACCCTGCCCCTGCTGGCCCGGAGCAAAAATTCTGTAAACCCGGTCTCATCACTTCCGGTTCTGGTCTTTTGTATGTGCTTTGTGATTTTTTTGCGGTTTTACTCAAGATAACTTAAAAGGAGCGAGCAAAGATTAGCATAACCAATGTCCCTCACATGTGCAGATTGATATTTAAACGTTTTATATTTTTTTCTTCTCCACAGTAACGTTTAGATATTTAAATGGAATAAAACGCCAATAACAAAGTGAACTAGGTAGGTTAGCTGATTACCTTAAAAATCCATAGATATCATAGTCAATTTTTACGGCCGTTAACACTATCTCTGAAGCGAATGCGAGACCAGGTTTTCCGGTTTGGTCATGTGACGCTCGGCATAAAGCCTGTTCACTTTTTGAAGAAGAAAAATCACATTAAAAAAAACCCTTGGAATACTTTTTCATAAACAATGCAATAACATGTGTTCAAATAAAAGACAATAATTCTGAATATTCTTACAATGACACTCTTGTGGTCGTCACATATGTTACTCATCATTCATCACTGCCACAACAACTGACCATTTAGCAAAGTACATGATGAGTTAGGGGATAATCATGGCTTGCTGAGCATTAAACGATTTGAATGCACTTTGTGGAGGCAACTAGTTCTTTGCTTCTCCGTTGTGCATTAAAATCGAGTAATAGCAGCTAGCCGTGGATTTTCCCTTACTTACAGTGCACTTTAATTTTTGAAACTTTGCAGACCTTTTACATTCACAAACAGCTATAAACCACATTACATAAAAGGTAATATCCAAAAAAAAAAAAAAGCATATCAATCAATCAACTTTTTATTCAAGACACAGATACACATAATAGGGACACTTAAAATTAATACAAATGTCATCAAATACTCAAAGAATCTTGAAGTGAAAGATGACCACAGAGAGACAGACAGCACTGTGTGAGTGTGCTGGCTACAGAACTGGGTTTTATTTTCTCCAATTATAGAATCCTAATGATTCTTGCGTTTGCTTTAAATGCTCAGACCAAAACAAAAAGATCTTTACTCCAGGAAATAAAACATTACATTTACAGAGTTAGTAATCCTGTGACCAGATACAGCAATTGATCACATTGTTATTCAATATATCATATTATTAATTGATCAATTCATCATAACTGTTCAGCCTAGTGTCCTTAGGTTCACTTTACACCTTAGAGCTTGAGCCAAGCCTTGAGACCATGTAGTGCTCTTACACAGAAACGGGCTTCAGATATACATAATGTAACTGGCCAAGTTATCATTGTATATTATTTTTGAGTTATTTCTGGTGCTCTGTGTAAATCTAATTAAAGAATAGCCATTTTTAAATTTACCTTCATGGAATTGACTTCATCTGTTGTATCACAAAATAGGACTGGCATTTTTTAGAAATGTGACTATAGATTTTCTTTATAGTAATTTTATAATATATAGCTATAGTTTAAATATGTCAACCCTACTAGTTTTAATCGAACTGAGCATGCTCAGCAGCCTGTCGGCGGTGGTGAACTTCAAAATAAATTGTTTTTTAAAAACACTTTCCAACCACAGGACTGGCCACTCTGCTTTTGCTCCCCTCCCACACTTTGACGCTTCCCATTACACCTAAGACCCATTTCCATTCAATAGGGACCATATTCACTGCTCTTTCCATCACATAAGTTAAGATAAGTTTTGTTCATTTTCTTTTCAAGTTTCAAACAAGCGCTACACAGGAAGTTGCAGCTCAAAGGCTTAAAGTGACCTTTGGGTTCTATGACAAAGTGTATTCTGCATTATTTGCTGCGTGATGATGAATTTAAAGTACGGCTGTCGATCAATCGCATATCAGTATTTACCACAGAAATATTAAATGAATGTGGCAGACGATGACAGGATTGAATAGACATTAGAAAAAGATGCTTTAAAAATATATCAATAGATTTTTGACTAGATGTTTACCGTTTAATATTTATTTAGCATTACAATTCAAGAAAACTGTTTGTATTTTTTTTTGTCTTCAGTGCAAATTCTTTTAAATATGGCCATCAGCTACATTTTTATATTTATATATATATAAATGTGTGTGTGTGTGTGTGTGTGTGTGTGTGTGTGTGTCTGTGTGTGTGTTTGTAGAATCGTGTAAAGATACCAATCTTTACTTTTGGGAAGTGTATATAAAGGCAAACCTCTGTGTGTTTTCTCTTTCAGTCAAAACTTGTATGATGATTTCCATGACACAAACTTGTGATCATTAATGAAATCTGTATGAGATAAGTTTGTTTTGTTTATTTATTCATTTTTTATGTTTGCTTTTGTGAACAAGCTTTGTAGACTAATTTTTTAGCATGTTTTTTTTTTTTTTTTTTTTTTGTAGGTCAAGCTAGTAAGACTGCATGCGTAGGCCTACTAAGTGTGTATGTGTGTTTGCAGATTCATGTAAAGATGCCAATCTTTATAGGGTAGTGTATATAAAGGCAAACCTCTATTTGTTTTCTCTTTCAGTCTCACTATCAACGAGGGGCATAAAACTTATCTGAAGATTTCCATGAATTCTGTATGAGGTAAGTTTGTTTGTTTATTTATTCATTCATTTTTTAGGGTCGCTTTTGTAGACTAATTTTTAAGCATGATTTCTTTGTAGGTCAAGCTAGTAAGACTGATGGAGCTGCAAAAAAAAAAAAAATGATGCTCTGAAGTTTAGTTACAATTTCCTGAAATGTATTGTCTTGGGTTTAATATAATTTCTGTTGTTGTTGTTGTTGTTATTATTTTAAACATACATTTGAAAATGCTGTCCCTTTCTGTTTCTCAAGCTACAGATTTCCATCTCAACCCGTCTGCAGCCAATTCTTCAAAATGCTTCATTTTTTCATCCTAATGTTTAATATTCCTCAGTGTAAGTAACTATGTATTTTTGTTAAACTTCCACGAAAATCATATTTGTTTGTAATGTGCTTAATGAATATTCTTTGAAGAAAATCCACTAAGTATCTTTTCACCCTTTCCTTCACATACTGATTTTCAGGCAACTCAGATAACACAGGCGTCGTGGCTCAGAATCATCTAAAGATTGTTCAAGCTGGAGACAGTGTTAACTTCACCTGTTTTTTACCAAACAATTTCAGATCCAGCATGGTTTGGGTCAGACAAAGAGTCGGAGAGAAACCCCTTCCAATTGTTTCATCATATAACGCTTTCCCTGCTGTCTTTGAAAATGGCTTTGACAACAATACACGCTTTTTTGTAACAAATGACAAGCGCAGTTTTAATCTGAGCATCACAAATACAGAAGAATCAGACACTGGAACATACTATTGTGTTAAATATATACTTAGGTTTTATTTTGGCGAAGGCACTGATCTCATTGTTAAAAGTAAGCTGAATATTCACTTCAATCTGACTGAGATACATACAGTATATTGTGTCAAACAAGCATTATGTTATTGCTGTTTCTTTTCAGATGGACAGCTGAGCGTGGACTCAGAGCATCAGAGAGCCGAGACAGATCCAGATCATCCAGAAGAGTCTGCAGCGGCTCTGCAGTGTGCCGTCGTCACTCAGAGCTGTGCAGGAGAACACAACGTCTACTGGTTCAGACATCAATCTGGAGAATCTCCTCCAGGAATCATTTACACTCAGGACCGCAGGAACGCTCAGTGTGAGAGGAGATCTGATGGGAACTCAACCACACACAAATGTGTCTACAACCTGCCCAAGAAGAACCTCAGTCACTCTGATACTGGGATTTATTACTGCGCTGTGGCCGCATGTGGACAGATACTGTTTGGAGAAGGAACAAAAGTTGATTCACCAGGTGACCATTGGTTTAACTAAAAAATAATATCATGTGATGTCTTGTTGATATGTTTTAATGTTTCATGTTGAATTATTATTATTACTACAGGCAAATGCTTTCAGACACATTGGACAACAGCCGCTTTGATTATGAATATTTTATCTGTGATCATGATTATTATTATGGCTGCATGGCTGTACAAACACCAGCAAAAAGGTATGCATTATTTTAGATGTTATGTTTATGTTCCTTCCTTCAAGATAGGATGCACTACACTCAGCATGGTCAGTTGATGGTAAGCAATCGAAATGCTTTTTTTATGGAATACAAATATCTTGATATGAGTTTAGTCACTGCTACACATTTATAGATTAGATTACACTAAACTGTATGTTTTAAGGGAATATATTTAACTAATTGATTCATACTCATACTGTACAATGTTCTATGCCAGGCTGACGACGCAGATGCTTTGAATTGTGCAGCTTTGAGCTTTCAACAAAATCCCTCAGCCTCTAGAAGACCCAGGGGAAGTAACTCACAAGATAATTCAACATATACACATGTAAGATAACAATGAGTGCATTTTTTCCTACACAGTATTCAGAGGTTTCTATTTAGAACCTATAAAAATTATTTTCCAATGTTAGATACCAAGACCAAAACCAAAAATGACATGTTAATTAAATTGTTTAAAGTGTTTAATTAAACTATCAAATAAGTTGTCCTGTACATACATAAATTTATCATTTGAATGTGCATCAAATAATGTACTCAATTAAATAAATTACTAAAGACACGAGTGAGTGAGACTGGTTGTTTTCTGTTGAATTATTTCATTCACACTTTACATTAGGGGCTCTATTTTAACGTATCAAGCACGAAGCGCAATTAACTTTGTGGGCGGGTCTTGGGCGCTGTTGCTATTTTACCGGTGGGATAAATGACTCTTGCGCCCGACGCAAGTTTAAAAGGGGTTGGTCTGAAATAACTTCATTATAGGTGTGGTTTGGGCGTAACGTGAAATAAACCAATCAGAGTGTCCGAATCTTTTTCCGAATCAATTCGTTCATTTCGTTCGTTGAATGAACCAAATGACACGAAAAAAGATTCGTTCATTTTGATGAACGAGTTCGAACAGGAGAGTCACGAACGAAAATTTTTTTTTTTAAATGAGCGATCCTTTCGCTTGATAAGACCCTTATTCATCGTCTGGAATCGTTTAAAGCCCTTTGAACAGTTTGCAGTTTGCACTGAAACTGTCTTTTGGACCTTGAACCGTTTGGTTCCCAAGTGGAGAAGAGTTCAAACTGCTATGTTTATTATTTATTCAAACTGCTACCCTTACACCTTGAAGGATAAGTTCTCAGGCGGGCTATTTTCTCCAACTTAAACCGATACCGTGACTAGGCGCAGTTGCGCACGAATTGTCTATGCACGCACGAGGTGTCTAGAAGATTATGCGTATGACTTAAATGCTGGCAGACAGAGCAGCAGTTGTAACTTGTAGGCATATTGATCATTAAATCAGAATTTTGTTGTCTTGAACTATTCATTCAGTCATATTCATTCATTCATTGATTTATGTCACTTGTTTAAGTCATCTAAAAAAATAAAAATAAAAAATAACCTCGATTAGGGGGCCCCCTGGTGGCCAGGGGGCCCCAAGTAGCCGCTTAGTTCGCTTATGCCTCGGGCCGGCCCTGGTTCCCATTGAAGTCCATTATATGGAGAAAAATGCTGGAATGTTTTCATCAAAAACCTTAATTTCTTTTCGACTGAAGAAAGAAAGACATTGACATCTTGGATGACATGGGGGTGAGTAAATTATCAGCAAAAGTTTTTTTTAAAGTGAACCACTCCTTTAATATAAAGTGGCCTTAATTTCTGCACTGAATTAGAGCTCATCACAGCTATACAAAACAAGCTGAAATTGTTTTAAATCCCTGTCCGTGGTTCTGAAATAACATTCTTGAGTCATATTGCTTTTGTAAAGAAGGTAGCATGAATTCATTAGACACTGAATCTATCCAAATATTGATGACATGATTTTTAACATCGATATGACAAAGTCCATCAATAAACTTTTAAAATGTCTTCTAGAGCACATACATTTTCCTTGTGCAATATAATTTTAAATTCAGTAACATAATATTGTACTGATAGTTCATCTTGACCTTTGACACGTCCATGTAGACCATGAGTCAAAACAAGCTCTTTTTTATTTTACACACGGTAGATATCTGAAGCAGTATTGTGTGTTTAATAATTGTCTAATATAATACTATAGTTATATTAGACATATATAGAATACTATAATTACTATATATATTGAAGCAGTCTTTTTACCTGCAAACAAACAACGATGAGGACAGAGGTTGTACAAGTGCAGGTAATGGTTAATTTGCAGTTAGTAAGTTAAGGCAATTTATGTCTTTGTTCTGATTGTTCTGATTTGGAATCATTCATATTAGAACTATTAAAATTGTGACTATTAAAATGTTGCTGTAGGCCTATTTTAGTACAATATGTGTCCCATTTGCCTGAATTAATAATATGCACTTTTATAGGTAGCAGCAAATCTCAGATGGTACATAATGGTTCTTGTTACAAGTATTCAAGCACTTATAAGCCTTTGAATGTGAAATATGTACTGTGTATGCAATACAGAAAGACAGATATGATGTGATTGACAAGACGTGCACACGAGCTCCTTCTGGTGGAGAAATGTAATAAAAGATTGCTTTGTAATCAGCAGAAGGATGACCAGCCCGATGGATTCTCTTAATGTTTTTTTGTTCCTTATATCCTAAAAGAAGAAATTCTCCCTTTCCTATTCACTTTGAGGGACCTCAGTATACACTGTAATGAAAGGATGAAATAAACATAGACTTTCTGAGGTAAACTTCATTAAAAATAACAACAACAAATACAATACGACTAGTGCTTCACTCAAACAAATGAAACATAAAATGTCTGACTGTTTGCGTTCACTAATGTTGCCTTGGATCACAGGAATAAATGATAGCCTACTATTTCACAATACAAATAATTGAACTTACAAAAGGCTGCACAACATGAACAGAGGTTTCAGTAAATATATGAATGAATAAATTGCTATGGTTTATTTATCAGGATGTTCATGTTGTGACCTGTATATTTAGTACTTTTCCAACCACAGGACTGACGACCATGCTCTTACATTACCGCCCACACTCCTTCACAGCCCACAAACACCTTTCTTAGAAGATCTTTTTTCCATTACATGCATTGGTTTTTTTTGTTTGTTTGTTTGTTTTTGTCTAATTATAGAGGAAGGTCAACAATTGCCAAAATTATAGGGTTTTTTTTTAATATCGTTGACATTTTAAATTAAATTAAACCTAATTAAAGGTACACGATGTATCTTTTGGCACCTAGTGGTCAAAAACAAAACTGCATGCATTTTGCAAAACAACATTGTGTGGATGAATATGGTTATCCGCTGCTCATAAAACATTCTACTTTGTTAAATTTTAAATTACATAGTGGCCACATGACCTAAAATTCTTCTTTAGGTTTGTTTAAATATAATTATTAGCGTGATATTTTGCTGCTAAACATGAGCAGGCACACACAAAACATTTCAGGGGTTGAAAGGTCAAATACTGCTCTGGTTCTGGTCATGAATTGCTATTCTTGCACAAAAGTGGTGCAGGATCCTTCAGCTGTGGTCAATGTGTGAAAGCAGGAAGTAAGAAAATACAAACTTCAGATCTTGTCAAACTAACTGTTGAAAGAATAAAAGTTTCCACATGAAACCTTGCAGAAATTCAGTATTTGTCAATGCTGTACAGATATACAGCCTCTTGAACAAACAAACACGTCTTTCCAATATTATGCTATGCCATACATTTAAACAAACATACTTGTAATTTCTTTGACGTGTTATTATGTTCATTAGTGTCAATAAACATTCATAGATGTCGCATTCATATTACATATTGAATATGTCAATTTGGAAAACTATAGAGGTGGTCACCATGACAATGAACACACCACTAACATTAAGATGAATCAGCCAATAGAATCATGTACAGTCATGTACATATGTGTTTTTTCTTTAGCCTACAGGGAGGTACAGTATATAAAGGTGAATCTCTCTCTGTCTTCTCTTTCGGACTTTGTTGAGGAGGAAGATAAAACTTGTCATCGGCTCTACATGAAAACCAACACTGATCTTTAATGAAGTCTGTAAGTTAATAAGATTAAAAATATAACCTCTTTTATTTCATTCTTATTTTACGCAGTTGTTACCTTTTCTAATAACGTCTTTACATTTTTTAATGTCAATTGTTAATTCCTGTTTGTCAAACACTTTGAAATGTTTTGTTTTGTTTGGAAAAACGCTATATCAAATTTGATTTACAGATGAGTGATTTATTTTCAGTTTTTAAAACAACTTTCCAAAGCAAGATTTCACCACATATCCATTATTATGCATATGCATAAACAACATGTAGTCTTGCATTAGACATTTTGTTAAAAATATATTTTTCTAATCCACACAATGTAAAATATAATAACATCTAAATTAACCGGTTTTATTGAAGAAGAAAAAAACACTGAAGCAAGTTTTAATGAAAAATGGAAAATGTGAAGAAAATTTTTTAATTTTTCCTCGGTTTATCCATTTGAGGTATAATTCTGATGTCTGAAAATGCACAACTCTTTACAAATTTTCTTTATTATTATTCTTTTTCTATTTTTTAGAAGATTCACTGTAGATCAGTCTGTTTGAAACCATCTGCTAAAAATGATTCATCAATTTTTCATCTTATTGCTTTACCTTTCAAAATGTAAGTAATTATAAACATTTTTGCTCTGCATAATAAAGCACATCAAGCAAGCAATACTAACCATATACTCTAATGATATGCCATTTTTATATTGAATTTCTAGGCAGCTCAGATAACACAGACGTCGTGGCTCAGAATCATCTGAAGATTGTTCAAGCTGGAGACAGTGTTAACTTCACCTGTATTTTACCAGGAGAGTCAAGACACAGTGTTGTTTGGGTCAAACAAAGAGTCGGAGAGAAACCCCTTCCAATTGTTTCATCATATCAAGCTTTACCTGCCGACTTTGAAAAGGGCTTTGACAAAACACGCTTTTATGTATCAAATGAAAAGAGCAGTTTTAATCTGAGCATCACAAATACAGAAGAATCAGACACTGGAACATACTATTGTGTTAAATATTTATATAATAGATTTTATTTTGGCGAAGGCACTGATCTCATTGTTAAAAGTAAGCTGAATATTCACTTCAATCTGACTGAGATACATACAGTATATTGTGTCAAACAAGCATTATGTTATTGCTGTTTCTTTTCAGATGGACAGCTGAGCGTGGACTCAGAGCATCAGAGAGCCGAGACAGATCCAGATCATCCAGAAGAGTCTGCAGCGGCTCTGCAGTGTGCCGTCGTCACTCAGAGCTGTGCAGGAGAACACAACGTCTACTGGTTCAGACATCAATCTGGAGAATCTCCTCCAGGAATCATTTACACTCAGGACCGCAGGAACGCTCAGTGTGAGAGGAGATCTGATGGGAACTCAACCACACACAAATGTGTCTACAACCTGCCCAAGAAGAAGCTCAGTCACTCTGATACTGGGATTTATTACTGCGCTGTGGCCGCATGTGGACAGATACTGTTTGGAGAAGGAAGAACAGTTGATTCACCAGGGCCAGGTATACACTGAATTTGCTACAAAAAATATAAATAAAAAAAAGTTGTGGGATCATGGTGTTGTTGCGTCACTAATATCTTTTAAAAATAAATTATTTTTCATTTCTGCAGATACAGCATGGAGAACAATTGCCCTATTTTTAGCAGCTTCAAACTGTTTATCAGTGATTGTGATCATAATTCTGTGCTCACAGATGTGCAAACACCAGCAGAAAGGTAAGATTTGCATGCTTTATTTCACTCTAGTATTCAAAGCAATGTCTGTTTCAGTGCAGATGTAACATAAACGTTCTTATTGTTTACTCAAGACGGGATCCCATATATTGTGGCTTGATAAATCAATGGTAAGACTTTTCCTTTTGCTTTATCTTAATTGATTGCTTTCAGACTCTGCTTTGTTGCTTACATTATGCCAAATACATATTTATTAAATTCTAAATATTTATTAGCGAAATATTTGAATCTATGTATTATTATAAACTGTGGTTCGATCTGTTTTCAGGCTGATGACACCAGCACTACAGTCAAATATACAATGTATCACAAACGTATTTAACTTTCAGAAGGCTTCAGGAATAAAACTGGCAGAACACAAGTTTGACTTTCACCTCATCGATCATGCATTTAGCAGTTATTTGAAAGAAGTCCATTTATAACAAACTTATAACATTCATCACATCAAATGATTACAACACATGCCTTAGTTATATATATATAAAAACTAGGACATGAACTTACAATAATACAGTGTGTACAATGAATGGAAATTAACTAACTGCTGTGATAATGAGCTTAAATTGTACTGTGTGAAAACCTGATATGTTTCTATTACAATCTTTTCTCCTGTAACAACTAAAACAGTGTGAAATATGTGTTATATCTTCCATTGATTATGATTATACTGCACATTAGATATAAATATTAATGGTTAAAATTTTGGTTTTATGCTTAGAAATACAATTTTCTTGCTTTTTTGTTCATACTGAATTTGTGATTTTTTATTATTTTTTATAATAAAAAGTTATAATTCAATTCTAAAGTGTTTAATTTGTCCTTTTGGCTGCGTGAGGCACGTCACGGAACGAAGAAGACGGAGAACAATCACATTTTTTATTTTTCGAAAAATTTATTATTTTATGAACAATAATAATATGTCTGCATGAACAATAAAAAAAATATTTATGTGGGCCAGAGGTTCATGTAGATTGTCTAAAAACCGAAAGGTTGGTGGTTCAATCCCTGGTTCCACCTGACAAGTGCAACACATTCTCACCCCAAGGCGTCACCTTTGACCATGCTTCAATATTTGACGCTTTAGGCGCCCTTTAGCGTCAGTTAGATGACGCGATCCTACGGCGTTATCTAACTGACGCTAAAGGAAAGCATCAGCTAGATGACGTGGTTAGGTTTAGGTCTGGGGTAGGGGTAGGGTTACATGCGATCCTAGGGCGTCATCTAACTGATGCTAAAGGGCGCCTAAAGCGTCAAATATTGAAGCATGGTCAAAATGCTTCCATATGGCGTCATTTAGGTGACGCTTTGGGGGTGTGTTGTATTGTCCATGAGCAAGACACCTAACCCAGCTGCTCCCGACGAGCTGGATGGCGCCTTGAATGGCTGACACCGCCATCGGTGTGTGAATGAGTGAGTGAATGTGAGGCAAATGTAAAGCGCTTTGGTGGCCATTGGGTCTGTGAAAGCGCTATATAAACGCAGTCCATTTACCATCCATGCAGTCCATGAACAAGTAACACAGTCTCATCCCAAAAAGTCATATAACTGACGTCTTGGGACATCTTTTGACCATACGTCAATATCCAATAGGTTTTTTTTTGCCTAAAAGCAGAGGCTCAGATCTTTATTTTTATATATATCATCTTCATATATTCATGGAACAAAATATTCAGCGGGGCATTAAAATTTAGCGAAAATCGTCAAAAACCCTGGCGGTGGCTGGCAACTTTTTTTTAAAACGCTGGCAGGGAAAGAGTTAAGGGGGCCCTAAAAAGGCGAATATTGACGTATGGTCAAAAGACGTCCCAAAACGTCAGTTATATGACGTCTTGGGATGAGACCGGGTTGGAACAAGACATGTATTAACGATAGCAAGCAATCAAGACGTAGAACCGACCAGGAAGAACTAGACTTGAGATACATATGCATAGACAAACTATATTAATTTGTCTACTGTATGTATGTTCATAAAAAAAAATGAACATTGTCTTCCTTAAAAATTAACCCATCTTAACGTGAGTTAAATCCCTATTCTTGAACCCATCGTCTACTGAACTTAAATTCACAAAAAAAATAACATTTAAACTAAATAATTAAAATCACAATAACAGGCTAAAATGACTGACAATGTAATATAATGTTTAAAGAATATATTTTTAAGATTATATATTTTTATATCATCATGTTGTCATAACTAAAACTACTGTAACTTTGTTTAAACCGTCAACTTTTCTAAGATGTTTTTTTCTCTACCAATGGAAAACAACTTGCAGTGGTTGACTGTTTGAATGTTGTATCTGTGGTTTCTATTCAAAGCGTGCTGTCAAAAACAGACAGAGGTCAGTCTTGTGGGTAAGAAACTGCTTTAGCCATCAAGGGTGGGACTGTTTTATCCGTCACGCATACATGTGCATGCAAACAGATCTCATAGTTCAAAGCTTGTGTGCGTGTGTGTGTGTGTGTGTGTTTGTCCCTCTCATGCAACAGGAAGTGATGCAGCTCATCTCTGACAGCTTGAGTCACATCCTCTCCTTATATGGACAGAGTCTGAGTCTGCGGTACAAGGTTTGAAAGTGGTGTAAACAAGGCCCAAAATGATCATGTGTTTTGTGAATGAAATTCAAATAGTGAGTCTTATAGTGGGCAAAAGAATGCATTATTATACGAAGTGCTTTTATGTCCTTGATCTGGTGTGTGGGTTGTGTGTATAGTCTTTTGATGGCTTGTGGTTAAGAATAAGCTGAAATGTCCACTTTACATCAGATCAACAAAGACTTATTATGGAAACATTAACTTTGTAACATAATTTAAATGTAAGCAATATCTGAACATGACATTTATTTAAGGCTCTTTAAAATGAACCAGTGTACAATAGGAGTATCTTTTTTTAATTGCATATAGCATTGTAAAACATTAAATATCCATTTCATAGCTATCCTGGTTCAATGCTTTGAAAAAGATGTGTTGGATGATGTTCACTTTGCACGTGTGTTGAAAATTCTGTTTGTGCAGAAACTTTGTGTCACCCTGCGTCAATTTGAAATATTAAAAGATTTGTGTTGTATTGTTATTCATGTTATATTGCAGTGCAAACTTAGTCATTTTGTCTCTGTCCTTGGTGCTGAAATTACAAATCCGTGTCCCACACTTCTGACTTTAATGATTTTAACCCTTTAACTGACTTCTCAACCAAACGGTTGAGCACAATTTGAGTCATTTTATTGAGAGAAGTAGCTAACTCAACTCAAACTGATTGAGCCATCTCTATCATCTAGTTGAGGTATATTATGCCCCCAAAAAATCCACTAGATTTCACAGTGTCAATCAACAGCACTTGTCACAACATTTCTTCTAACATGGATGTCAGAAACAAATAAATCACCCCAGCCATGTGAACCGTTTTTGGTGAAATTTTGCAACCTAAGCATAATTTTTTTTACATATTACACTGTAAGAGCCTTAACTTTATAAAATGATGTTACTTGGTGTTATGATAAAACTTTAGTATATTTTTAATAATTTTTCAAAAACATGCTCAACCAAACGGTTGATTTGGCAGATACTGTCACCCCCCTTTTTGAGAAAGGACATTACAATGCACTATTAAAACTTGGTTGTAATTCAAGTATGCTTTGGAAAAATACCTAAGTTTAGTCTTGTTTTAAGGAAAACACTGCAGATTATTGCTGAAGTAAAAGCACTTAAAAAAAATAAAAGTATGAAAAAGTTATGAAAGTTTTAAAATTACATTAAAGTACTAAATATTTTTTCTTTTATATAAAATATATATTTTACAAAATATTTTTTCCTATAAAATTACTATAAAATCAAAGTCATATATCTAACCAAGTTGTGTTCCAAATTTGAAGTTGATATCACAAAAATTGAAGTTCTCATGAGATTTTGTTTAGGCGTAATACCAAAAATGGCATCAATTCCATTGGATTTAATTGTATTCTGCTGTAACAAATTAATGGATTTCTGTCCAAATATCACTTCTGTTACAAAATATGGAACCTTGAGACTCAGACCTTTCTGATAATGTGTTTGTCAAGACTAGAAAAGGTTTTGATCATAAATTATGATGGGCAATGAAAAAGTATGGCAAAGTGTGTGTATGAATTCCATGGTACCATTTCTTATTATTAAGTGACATCTCAACCAATTGGTAGAGGCCGATATTTAAAAAATTAAGGGATGTATTGAAAAAAAACATTGAGTGTGGTTACTAGCGGCATAAGAAAATAAGAAATGCAAACAAAAAAATTTCCATCACTTTTTTCTTGCTGCGGACTTAAAAGGGTTTCAAGGCCTGAACAAATGGACACATCACTGGTTGCCACTGTCTCTGAAATGTATGAGGAATAGGGAAACATTTATTTCAATAATAATTTTCAAATTAACAAAAATGTGTCTACTGCTACCTCACCCACAAAAATAGCCACTGCATAAGGCCATTTTTTTCTGTGAAGAGACTCATTTCCTGTTTATAACTCCAGCATAGCATCCAGTTGATTGGCTGCTGTCACAGAAGTGGTGTTCGCCAACTTCAAAACCCTTTTCAAATGACCAATCAGATCTTACAGCCGTGTGAATAAATAAGACAGAAGTGCATATGCATCTCATTTTGAAGGACAGGTTGAAGGACACATGGTATATAGACAGTCTACTAATCTATAATTGAATTGGTGTGAAAGGATTGTTTTGGGCTTATTCGTGTTTTGTTTTTGTTTTGTTTTTTACCCAGGGGAATTTAAAATATGAGGATAATTTTGGAAGACCAGTGATCATGAGATATCATTTAATCATTTTGTTCTTCTCAGTAATAGGTAAATATACTTGAAATCTTTCCCATTCAACAAAATTATGTATCTATTTATCAAAACTCAATTTTAAGTTCTGATTTATTCAGTTAAATGTAAATTTAGTCAATTAAATGTACCTGCTTGATTTTGCAGTCTGCTCCTCTGATGAGTCCTCTAATGTGGATCTTGTTCAGGAAGATGTAAAAGTAGTTCGAGCTGGAGAATCTGTGAATCTTACTTGCAGCTTTTCAACGCTTCTGCAATCAACAAGAGCA